TTGGCCTCATCCCCAAGATGGCTCATTATGCATAATCGGATATTCCAGAATCCAACAAAACCCCAAACCTGGAGCACTGCTGGCCCTCGGCACTTTGGATAAGGGACGCTAAGTCGTGCTGCTTGTGGTGAAAAGGCCGGTCATTGCCCATGGACTCTGTGTGAAGGCAGTGACAAGGACCAAGGGGCAGCACTCTGGGTCTGGTTTGTCATTGTGAGGATCTAAGTGGCCCCTGGCATCATGAAAAGGGGACCCTGTCCACCCTGAAGAAGCCAAGCTCGCGTCCAGGCCACGCATCTCCACCAGCTGTGTGGCCAGCTTCAGGGTCTCAACACCTGACAGCAATTGGGAGTCCCTCTGGGCCACCTCGGCCCTGTGCTGCCGGCCCAGCTCATTCTTGGACAGTCCCTCTAGACAGAGGAAGAATCCTTGTCCCTTGTCCCTCCTCCTTGAATACGGGCCACCTGAGTGAGCCATCCTGCATTAACAGAATGTACCTGGAGTGACACGAAGTGGCTTTGGAAGTGGGGCCCGCAAAGGACATTCGGCTTCCGCCGTCATGGAAGAAGTCTGCGCACCCTGGGTCCACGTGCTGGAGAAGCCACGTGAACAGGCTCTAGTGGCCAGCCGGCTGACGTTCCCGCAGAGGGCCACCAGGCAGGGAATGTGAGCCCCAACAGGGGACCATGCGGGCTGGCCTTGGCCTTGTCCCCCCTCCAGTTCTGTGCCCACCAACGCCCAGCCCACGAGCCCTGCCCAGCTGAGTGCCTCTGGAGCCCCTGATCCACAGACGGCCAGCACGCCCAGAGGGTCTCCTGGGGCTGCTGGCCCCTTACACGGCCGTGCTCAGCGCATATGTAAGGGGCACCATGGGGCCCACAGACTGCCACTTTATGGTACCTGGGCAGAGTCGGCCTGAACCTCTGTCCCTTTAGTAGGCTGCAGATGCACTGGAGGAAGCTGGGGGACCCCAAGGCCCTGCTTTGTCTGGCCTTGATCTGGCGTCACCCATGGAGAGCAGGACAGGATAGGCTTGAGGCCAGGGCCTCACAGTTGGCCTGCTGGGTCACTCAATGATCTGGATAAGAGTCCCTCAAAGACCCATATTATTAAAGGCTTGGTCCCCAGCCTGAGGCCCTATTAAGAGGAGGTGGGACCTTTAAAAGGAGGGGCCTAACAGGCAGAAGTTTGGTCACTGGAAGAGTGTCCTTGAAGGGGACAAGGGCCCCCCAGCCCTTTCCTCTCTCTGGGCTTCCCATGGACCATGAGGTGAGCGGCCCCACCTTCTACAGGCCCCAAGCATGGGTGCCGATGGATCATGGGCTGAAATCTCTAAAACCATGAGCCAAAATAAACTTTCTTCTTTTTAAGAGAGAATACCTAAGGTATTTGCTTACAGTAACGAGAAGCTGAGCTGCCCTGTCACAGTCTCCCCAGCTGGTTTCCTGAGGTCTCTGGAATCTGGGCCCTACCCGAGGTCCCTAGACTTTTCTAGACCCCCTGCCCATGCCTCCTTGCTGCAGCCCCCTCTCAAAGCCTGGTCTCTCCATGAGGCTGGGCCTCCCCAGATGCCTCCCATGGCCTCAACCCCGCCTCTTGGACTCCTCAGACTCATCCTAAGCAGCACATCTATGAAATCACAATGCCACGGGCCCGAGCTCTGAGCACCATCTACCATCTCCTCTGTCGCCTGTCTGGGGGCTGCAATCTGGGAAACACTGGTTTTCGGGCACAGAGGAGCCTTTCTAAAGAACCCTGGCGTGCATTTTATCATCGGTAGCCGGAGACGGGACGTTCAAATGGTTTTATTTTCTTCTCTGCACCCGTCCACGGCCCTCCCGTTTTTATAATAAGCGGGGATCGGGCCTCGGTAACCAGAGACCGTAAATGAATGTTGGAAAATAACTAAGACATCATCTGCGTTTTCCAAACACAGAGAGTCGGGTGAGGAGAGAGAGTGGGGCAGGTGCCCAGAGGCTGGCGAGCGAGGCCAAGAGCGAGTTCTGCGGAATAAGCGCGCTCTCGGCCTCCCAGACGCCACCTCTCGCCCCGCTTCCAATTGTTGGAAGAGAGGAAACTTCATCCCTCCTGCTTCTCTGCCCGAGCCAGCTGTCACCGGGTGTGTGGGGGACGGGAAACAGGATTACAAGATTAACAGTGCGCCTGCGGAGCCTGCCTGGCTGTTATCAGGGCTGACTCCGGAGAGCCACAGTCCCCACTTGTCACTACCTACGGCAACCTGGGGGTTGGGACTCGCGCCCAAAATAAATCCTGCACAAGGACAAAACCGACTGGGAGCTTCCCCACAATCAGGTCGGTTTTCCTGAGCGTGTCCAGCGCTTTCTAGAGACTTTCCCACGTGGGTCCCGTGAGAACCCTGGGAAGTGGAAGCTCCATCTATTCAGACCCATTTCACAGAAGAAGGCTCTGGGGCTCTGCCAGGTGATATCACTTGCCCAGCGTCACCTGCTGATAATCACGACCAGGTTGGACCCATGTCCGTCGGACTTTGAAGCCTTCTATTGGAGTCAATCGGCTTCCCTCCCTCGCCTGCCCCAAGAATGTCACCAAAGAACTGAGTAGGAGATGACCTTATGGACTCCCCGACCTGGTCAGGGGTCAGCACAGCCCTTGGGTTCTGCCACGCTGCTCCTAACAAGGCCACAGAGACACACCACGGGGCTCTGGGAGAGACTAAATCCAACAAGTCACCCCTTCCCTCTGGTCCACGTGCATAGTCCCCACCAGGGAGAAGGCCTGGTCCATCTGGGGGGTGGCCAGGACAGCCAAGCAGACCAGCCTAGAGTCCCTGCCTGAATAGGCAAACAGCTGTGGTTCAAAGCCTGCTGCTCCGGATCTCGAACACTGCACCTGTCCCTCCTTTTGTGTCTGATATCTGTCCCAGCACCTTCCAAACTGCAGGGACCCCGTCTGACACAGGGAAGCCACGTGGAGTCGGGAAGAGACACACGCACCAGGCCTCGGGTGCAGCTCAGGGGTGCGGCGCTTGCCTGGAGTGCACGAGGCCTGGGTTCCGTCCCCAGCCCCGCAGAGAAAAAAAAAAAAAATGCTGACCACACAATCTGCGACCATAGGAGAAAGGAAGAGCCCCCGGAGACCCAGGGAGAGTTGGGAGGTGGCCCCGTGGGAGAGGGCAGAGACCTGGAGGCTAAACAGAAAGGAAAGACTCTACGATGGGAGCATCCCCCGCAGTGACCAAGACAGAGGGCAGGAGCCAAAGCCGGGGCCAGGCCTGGGGGGACAAGGGGGGCAGCCAGGAGAAGCCTGAGCCTTACACTGAGGGGCAGTAAGAGGTGGATGTCCCTTTGCGTGACTTGTGCTTTACCGACATCTATCTGGTGGCTGCTTGGAGAAGCCCCCCAGCGGGGACAGGACCACAGGCAGGTCCAAGGCAGCCGGGAGGGTGCTGGCTGCCATGAGCGGCCTGGCAGGAGAGAGGGAGGGAAGCCGAGACCCCGTAAGAAGGTAGAATCGGGGCCCGGCGGAGTTCGGTGGCACAGTGTGAGCCTGGCACGTACGAGGCCCCGGGGTCCACCCCTTCCCCAGAAAGAAGGAGCATCCGCAGGACACGGTGACTAGTTCACCTGGAGAGGTGCCCGCGACTCCTTCAATCTGCTACCCTGCTCTTGACCTCGTGGGAAGGAGGGAAGTCCCCCCACCACAGCCAGCTTGTCAGGGCGGTGGGGCAGGGCGGCCCCTACCTGTGCGGCCCGGACCTTCACACGTAGCCCTGGGAGGACTTGGGCAGGACAGAGCTGCTTCGGTGTCCCCTGAATTCTGAACACTGGAGGAGCAGCGCGACCCGTGGCGCTCCAAGGCACAGATAATTGGACCTCTCTCCGCTAAGATGGGATTCCTGTCCACACTGTTTCCACTGATCCTGGGACTAAATTAAACACCGATTTCAAAATGTAGATGACTCAGGAAGTTGGCTATCGTAGCCACCAAAGGCACCTTAGGAGTCTACCGTTGGGAAGGAAGCCAGCCAGGAACACAGGGACGTACAGGCGTGTGCTGTCCCCGGGCACAGCTGAAAGTAATGCCCTTGAATTTTTAGAAGCCTGCACAATCGGATCTGGTAAGCCTGCTGCCTAAAAATAATTCCCCAGAAGGCAGTTTTAAATCCAAAGCTAAAGCCATCAGCTTCCTCGTTTCTCTTCCCTCAGTCTCTGAAGGCATATGTCTGTCTCCCTGCCTGACTCTTCCTGTCACATCTTCCAAAAAGGAGAAGGAAAAACCTCCCAAATGACTTCATTTTATTTTGAAACACTAAACCCACCAAAAGGGGGAAGGAAGAAAAAAACAAAAACAAAAAAACAAAAAAACCCTCTTGGTCAAAACAGCTCAAGATGTGATTTCTGATTCTCTTGCCATATGGCAAGTTCGTCTGGAAGCCTCTCCCGAGCACAGAGAACTTTGACGACATCCACCATGCCTGTTCCGTCTTTTCAAATCAGACCCCATCCCCACTCTGTGCATTCGCTCCAGTCTCTTCTATTTGTCATATCAGCGGCTGCGACCACAGGATATGTAAAAATACCAAGCAATTTTTAGCACCAGCTTCCAATCCCCCAGTGCCCTGGACACCACATGGTGTCAAATTTTGTACTTCACCCCCAGGAAATCAAGTCATTAACTTCTCTCTCATTTACTGCGAGCCGATGCCAAAGAGAAAAGCCTTCCTCGGCTGTGACTTATGGGAAGAAAAAGAGAAAGGGACTCGCTCAGGAGAGAGATTGCAGAGGGAAGTGATGGACAAAGCCCAGCTCTCCTGATTCTTCTCCCGCCCGGGAGCATCACCCTCAGGTTGCTGATGGCCTCGGTCGCATGGGACAGTAATCAGAAAGGGGAACGAGCCTTTCCTCCCCATCTCTGGGCGCCTGGTGCTCGTGGGCAGGGTGGCCATGGCACGAGAGCTGAGTGCCCCCCGGCCCGGCTCCACCAGGCACGGGGTGGGGCACAGGGATCCGCTTTCCTACCTCTGCATTCTGGACATTCTGTGCAGCTCCATGTCGTCACTCCCCCGGAATCCTTTGGCGAAGGGATTGTTCTCGATCTTTAATTGCGTGATCTGAAGGAAGGAGGGAGAACCGGCCGTTTTACACTTTATTGCCACAAGACTACCTCAGGGACCAGAGCTCCTAACGGTGCCATGGAAACGCGGCCTCAGGCAACCCAAAGAAGCAAATTAAGCCAGTCACATCACCGGGACCCACCACTTCATTGGAGTGGAGGCTTTTGAAACATGTCCTAGCTCAGACTGCTTTTGGGGGAGTGGGCGTGGGGGGCTGGATTCGGTTTGCACATTAATTGGAGTCACATTCTGCCATCCTTCCAGCCAGAGTCATGAGTCTGAGTGTGTGTGAGTGTGTGTGTGTGCGCGTGCATGCGTGCATGTGTCTAATCTGGGCACTTTGTATTTCTAGCACAGTGTAGGCCTCAACATTTGGTCCCCCAGCCCCCGAAGCCCCCGCCCTGGAAAGTCTTGCATGTTGGCACGGGGGGGGGGTGTACATCCGGCAGTGAGGCAATCCCCCGTTTGGAGAAAACTTGTCTTGATGGTGACTTTCCAACAATCAAGTCATTTCATGGTTTCACAGACTTCACTGGCCCAGGTGGGAAACAGTGGCCAATAAAATAAACACGGACACGTGTGCGGATCACATCTATGACAGCGACCACACAGCTCTGGGCCGAGGTGGCTTCCCGAGCTCTGTCTGTCCTAGTGATCTGCAGGGTAGGGAGCTGAGCAACAGAAAGAGGGTCTTTCTGAACGTCTTGGCCTGGAACTTTAATTTAAACCAGCAACGCGTATTAGGGGAGTGTGAATGTGCAGTAGCCCATCCAGGTGACGGAGTGCATACATATGGCGTTTGCTAGAAGTAGTTCCTAAAAGTCATGTGTGAATTGATTTTTCTTTCTTTTTTGATTTTGTTTTTCAGAGCTGGGAATCAAACCCAGGGCCTTGCACATGCTAGGTAAGCGCTAACCAAGAACTACACCCCAGCCCAGAATTCTCATTGACAGTCACAGTATAGGCACCAGGACATCAAGACTCTAGCTTCAGTCCTGGGGGCGGGGGGGACCCCCGTCACGATCACTGTCGTATCATAGATCACCTGCATACTGGTTTGCTTGATATTTATATTTACATTGAACCTCTTTTTATTGAAATCTATTTTACCCGGAAATAGGATATCTCTTCTCTGTATGAAAAACCAGAATCCTTTGCTATTCAATAAGGAGAAAACCACTGTATCAAGATCTCTGTACTAGGACCCACAGAAAGCTCTACATCCAAACCCTGCCTTCCCCTGGTGGCAGGAAGAGATTAGGCGCTTTGGAAGACGTTGGAACACCACACACCAACTTGTACTGAAGGAAGGGCTGTCTCTCTTCCTCCAAGAGAAGACTAGAAAGATAACTGGGAAGGGAACTTTCTCCCCCTGACTTGGATCATACTCGAGTGCCCCTGCAAAACTTCTCCCCTTACCCCAGCAGTACATGGACTTCAAGAAACTCTGGGCCAGGAATCATTAATGAAGGCACACTTCTAAATCGCTCCCCTGAGCTGTTCTGATACATCCTGCCTCTAGAAGAAACAGCCTACATAGTTCCCTTCTAGCTCCAAGACTCTATAATGAACATGAAATCACTGTCTGAGGGCTGCGGTGTAGCTCAATGGTAGAGCTTTGGCCCAGCATTGCAGGAGGTTCTGGGTTCCACCCCCAGTACTGCAAACTAACAAACAAACCGACTCACTGACTTGTTCTATGTATGATACCTGAATGCATAACAACAACAACAAAAAAAATCTCACATTTTTAATATCTGACTCCAATAATCTGACATCCAGAAAAAAAAAAGAAAAACTATGGTGAAAAAATTTCAAAAGGTCAGCAATTGCCAGGGGTTGAGGGGGAGGATGACGAGGCAGAACTCGGAAAATTTTTAGGGCAGTAAAGATCCTCTGTGGAACCCAGCCATGGTGGGTACCTGTCACTATATGGTTTGTCCAGACCCATAGCACCACATTACAGATATGAACGCTGAGGTCACAGCAGGTTTGGGGTGATAATGATATGTCAATGTGGGGTCGTCCACATAACAGATGGACCACTCTTGTGGGGGTGTTGACCGTGGAGAAGGCCAAGCACATGTGGGGGAGGTGCATGGAAAATCTATACTTTCTGGAACCACAAAGTGCTCTTTTACATCCATTTAAAAATATTTTGGAAGCCGGGAGTGCTGGCGCACACCTGTTATCCCAGCGGCTCAGGAGGCGGAGGCAGGAGGATCGTGAGTTCAAAACCAGCCTTGGCAACTTAGCAAGGCGCTAAGCATCTCAGTGAGACCCTGTCTCTGAATAAAATACAAAATAGGGCTGGGGATGGGGCTCAGTGGTCGGGTGACCCTGAGTTCCATCAGAGGTACCCAAAAAGAAAAAAAAATATTTTTGAAATACATGTATATACACACATCCATGTGTTTGCACACATGTGTATACACATTCCCTTCCACCCTCTTTATTTATTTATTTGGTTTTTTTTCTGGGAATTGAACCCCCATGTTGCCACTAAGCTACATCCTGGTCTTTTGATTGATTTTTTAATTTTGACACAGGGTCTCACTAAGATGCCCAGGCTGGTCTTGAACTTGTGATCCTCCTGCTCAGCCTCCTGAGTCGCTGGGATTATTGGTGTGTGCCACTGCACCTGGCTTCATTTAAAAAAAAAAAAAAAAAACTGGGCTCATTCCTGCAGATTTCTGATTTTGTCTTAACTCTTCACTGTGAGTTAAAAAAAAAAAACTCTACAAAATCCTTTCACAAAATAATCTTCAACATGTACACTCTTGGACAGCTCATTTTAGGAGTCTAAGATTCCATCACCTTTCCTTCCCACTCAGATTTCATCACAATGAATTGCAACTCAATGAATAATAAATCATTTTAAAAAAACTCATAAAAAATGAAATTAGATCATTTAAACAGGAAGATCTCAGTGGTGTATGAGGCTGAGGTAGGAGGATGGCAAGTTTGAGGCCAGCCTTAGCAAGTTAGCGAGGCCCTAAGTAACTGAGTGAGACCCTGTGTCCAAATTAAAAAATAACAAGGGCTGGGGATGTAGCTCAGTGGGTACGTGCCCCTGGTTCAATCCCTAGTCCAAAGGAAGAGAAAGAGAGATTTGGGTGGGTGGGTGGGGAGGGAGAGAAGAGAAGAAAAAGGAGGAGGAGGGAATCCTTTCCCCCAGGCCAACCCACCCCAGCCACAGAAGCTGGTCCCTGCAAACATTGAGGACAGGGAGGATGGGGACTTGGGGCTGCATAGTGTGGGCAACCCATAGTTACTGCCCCACCAAGAATTCAGAGCCAAAAGTTGCAAAAGGGAAAAAAAAGGGGGGGGGGGGTGTTTTATTTTATCTGCAAAAGACTTTTGCTCAAATCCATTCCTTACACCCCAAACAAGGTCCCTTACTCCCTAATTCTTATGCTTTATCACCACAGCTTTCGAGAAATAGCACAATTTGCTAAATAGAGACTTTTGGAGATGGAGTGTAGGCACCCTTAGGACCTAAGAAATGCCTTTGAGAAACATCGACAGATGAGCTTGTCTGCAAATGAGAATACCTTTCTCCACGTGTCCCCGTCCACTTGAACGACAACCCTGTCTGTAAAGTCCCCTTGTCAAGAGGCTGTGTGTGCTGGTTCAGGGGTACCTAAGCCCATCCACCTGGATGCTCCAGTTCTGCCAAAAGTCTCCCCTGAAACTCCCTCGTATTTGCCATATAGAGGTGCTCCCTCCAAAATCAGCATAAAACCGGATATCCGGGGGAGGGCTGGCCATGTGTGTGGGGGGGGCTGACCGTGGGGGTGGGGGAGAGGGCAAATATAAATACCAGCTCCAACTGGTGAGACAGAGGTTGTAAAAATTAATGAGAATAATTGTTGTGAATTCTTGCTTTTGAAAAAAAAAAGGGGGGGGGGGGAACTCATGAGAGCCAAAAATCTTAATTATGTCTCTCTATTAGGGGTTCATTTCCTGGTCCCAACCAGAAAGCTCGTACCTCATAAATATAGGCTGCGTACACAATGATTTAAGCAGGAGGAAAATGCTTTTTGATGGAAAAGTGAGTTAATATTGGGGGATAGAGCCGTGGCATACACAGCCATGGTCGCAAGGGCAGGGAAATGAAATGCCCACGTGACCTTTTTTTAACACCTAAATATTTCTGGGCATGGCTGCCGAGAACTGCAGTGAAAACCTGACAAAGACATGTTTCACAGGGTGAACGTCGCCGGGGAAGATTCGAGTGTTTAAATATCTTTCTCAAGCTGTCAACCATCTGGGGAAATAATTCCCAAATCCAGCTTGGGATCACAGCTGGGCTGAGGAAATATGTCTCGTCATTAGGAGCCCTTGTGGGCTCAGGCATGTGACTGCAGCCCAAGAAATGAGCTCTTGTCGCATGCCTACCCCCACCTGGTACCTGCACCCACGTCCAGAAAGACCATCCCCAAAGCAAAGCACGGAGCTCTCGGACCAAACAAAAAGGGACTTGTATTTTCCCAAAGTGTCCTGGCAATTGAATCTCGTGGATTGCTTTTCTTGCCCTGATCCTTTGTCCAAAGCAAAATACAAGACAAAGGGTCCTTGAATTGACGATATGATCAGGGAATGAACCCAGGAAAAACCACAAGGAGGAACACTGGTAGTTCTTTTTCAACCACGGCAATAAGAACTTATTTAAAATCTCCCGTCTTTCCGATTCTAAAATAGCCAGAGTGTGACACTGAGTAGGCCGAATGTTCCAGAATGTTCGTTTGGAACAGAGTTGCCCCTCCTAACCAATCAGTGAAGTCTTCCACCAATGGCTGGATCACCAGGACGGGCATTTGGAACTAATTGGATGCCAAGCCCTGCCCTGCACCTCTCCAGGTCTATCTCGGGTCATCGTCCTGATGATCCTACAGGGTTGATGTTCTTATTATCCCCATTTTACAGATAGGAAAAGTGGATCAAGTCCATTGTCCAGAGTCGAATGGATGTGAATCCAAACAGTCCGCCACCCCCAGAGTCTCCCTGGCAACCTACGCGTCGTAAGAGCCCAGCTGGATTCCACCCATGGAGTCAGAATTCTCAATACGCGTTCCAGGTGGGACAATAAAGTAATGAGAACAAGTCCACAAATCATATGCAACCCCGGCTGCTTATTTAAATCACACATCATATATCCATGGGGGAAATGTTTGCAGTGTCTTGGACTCGACTGGAAACGTGTACGGCCGTGGACTTGCTCCTCACACAGCAAATAGATGCCTTTGAGACTCTGAGAGTAAGAAGGGAGGGAAAACCCAGTGGGCCTGGATGTCTCCTATGAAATCCTTCTTCTGCCTGCCAAAGAATATGTCAGGCTGGCTAGAAAGACCTCTATGTGCAGTTCAGCTGGGCTCTCTGATCCAGATAAACAACAACAATAACAAAAGAATTCCTGTATGCAAACCCTGATTGTGATCATCAAATGCACACGTATCTCAATGTACAAATGCACATTTTAGACCTGTGAGCATTTAGACAGATGAATGCACAAAATCCACACGTATGCACTCCCCCTCCTCAGGCATCCATCCACATGCACAGATCACTAAATATATACAGGGCAGAGAACAAAATTTTGAAAAGAAATTTGGGAGGTATTGGATATTTTCATGATTCCACCGAAAGTTTTACTGGCATGCACGTATGTCAAGTGTGAAGTTGTATGTATGCTTCAAGGGGCTGGGGAGTAGCTTAGTGGAAGAATGGGTGCTTAGCTTTGTCTAATGCCCTGAGTTCAATCCCCAGCTCCGCCGCCGCAAAAAAAAAAAATACATAAATAAATGTGTACTTCAAATGTTGCATGTGATGTTATGCTATAAATAATGCTGCAAACAGAGAAGAGGAGAGGGAGACAGTGATCTCTTTGAGACCTACCCTCAGCTGATGGGACCTAAGATCATAACTATATAGAATCCAGAATCTTTCCCCCAAGGGCCCGAGGTCTGATGTGGTTTTGAGAAGATCACTTTCAAGTGTGCACTCCTTCCCCTATGAACATGGCCTTTCTTCAGAGAGAGAGAGAATTGGGGAAAAAAAAAAAAAAAGATCTGATATACCCCTGGACTCTGTGTCAGATCTGGGAGCCTCTGAGCATCTATACATGTAGACGAGGCTTCAGCTTCTTGATTGCTATTTCTCCTGTGACCACACTGGCTTGCCACAGCCTTAGAGGAGACAGTTTTCAAGAAGCCAGATTCGAACTGACCTGAAATAGTTCTGCTGCTCTCGGGAATTTGGACTTCAGTGTTTCTCACCCTTGGCTGGTTCAACAGGAGGAGAGGACTCAGAATAATCTTCCTTCTCCTTTAAAAAAGCTGTTGCTTTTTTCTAGGGAAGGAGGCTCTCCCCTAAGATCAGGAAGGAGCCATCCATCACAGCTTGGCCTGGTCACTGACAACCTGAATTTGGAGATTACCCAAAGCCTGTTCTAACAGCCCTGGCCTCTGTGGGGGGATTATCTGCCACCCAGCCTGCTCTGGAATGACCTCGGTGGGGTAACTGGAGGCTTTAGAGTGCTAACCCTCCCCTGGCCTCTCTTGCCAGGCTCCACAGACTTTGTGGTTTCCAGGACAGGGGCTATGGGAGGGGGAGGGTTACGGCCATCCCCACATCCATCCAGGTAAGATGAGTGACCTGCCCTCACTCATCCCACAGGGACTGCCCCCCTCACCGTCCAACCTGGCCGCCCTCACTTGAACTGCCTCTAAAGGGAGGACACTGACTCTAACAGAAGAGGTTCTTCCACGGAGGGTAGTGCCAGCCATTTCCCCCTCCACGCTAAAATGATGCCTTCTGGTGGCATTTGAGTGAGTGGCCATCTAAATCATGACAAGTCAGTCAAACAGGTGTGTGTGCGCATGACAGCTGCCTCCAGCAGTAGGAACCACCACCACCCTTAGGCTGCAGTTCTGCCCTGCCCCGCATCTTGGGGTAGAAGTTGTGCAGGTGCACACTGCACACTGGTAGAGAGCCTGCCTCAGAGCACAAAGTTGCAGCCAGGACCAGATTGCATATTCAGGAAGCCAGCAGACAGTCCCAGGTGCTGCCTGCTGGGAGCGGGGCTCACCTTGTGATTCTGATAGGAAGTCACCGCAATAAATGCCGTCTCCGGGAAGACGTGGGTGCAGAACGCTGTATTTTTTGAACCGAATCCATTATTTTCATCTGCTTTCACGATGTGTAATCTGGGCTGGTATTTGTGCATGGAATTTAGAATAATCTAAAAATAATAAAGAGAATGAGATTGTAAGAAAATCAAAACTCCCTTTGTTTCCAGATAAATCCCTGCTCCCCCCCCCCCCCCCAATTAGCCTTCCGCGCTATAGACTCTCTCTCGGAAAAATAGTCATTTTTTTTTCCCTTCTGTTTTGAAAAGGGGCCAATGATTTCATTAAAAAGAAACATTTCAAAAATGACAATTTCCAACTTAAAAAGCCAAGGTAATATTCCAGTAATCTACCCAAGGCACACACAGCAGTAAATCAGAATTCTTAATAAAGTTTGCTTAATAAATTAACTCTGCATAGGGCACTTCCCACCTCCCCAATGGGAGCCTAGTGAGTCTGCTTTGGGGAGCAAATGAGTCTGGGGAAGGCTGGGCAGCAATTTTGGAATGACTAGGGTCAAGAAACAAATACCCACCCCCAGGCCAGCCAAACCCTCTAGTCATGTAAAGGAAGACACTAAGCTTTTGCAAAACTGGAATGAAAATGAGACTTTTCCTGAGACTTGGACCTCAAATCTTGGCCCTTTGTGAAACAGGCAAACTAATGTCAATAAAGAGACTTTTAGGGGTGGGAAGTGCAGCCTGGCCTCTCAGGAGAGCCAGATATGGGCAGGAAGCACCCGGCAAACCACCCCATCAAAGCGCTGGGCGGGTTGCCCTGGAGGCTCCCCTTCTCCAACTTTATCTCATCATTCACAACCAACGTCATCTCCAGGCTCGGAGCTGGTGCATCTGCTTGGGGGGGGGGGGGGGTAATATGATTTTTCTCTCTCCCTCCTGCCCGCCTCCCCCATCATAGGGTTCTTCCAGGAGAAGGTCTCCCTGCTTGGAGGACCTCCGCTGGATGCACGTTCTTGCTGGAGCCAGGACTATTCACAAGCGATGAGCATCGCTTCTAATAAAACTGGGTTTGTTGTCCTGATGACGCCTGGATTTTGATGCTCCCGGACCATTAACACTAATATTTACCAAAACTGTCCTGGTCCATGCCCACTGGATGGGCGAATCGCTGGCCTCTAAAGGCCCCCAAATCTGGCCTGCTTTTTTCCCCCAGGACCACAATCTGGAGCGACTGGGATTGTCTCAATGTCTTTGATTATTTGCAACGATGACCCTGGGGCAGGATTTTCGGACAAACCCGGGAGGCCCCGCAGCGCGGAGGGGGAGGGGCTGCCGCTCGCGGCCCTGCGCTGGCGACCCGGCCGGGGCTCTAATCTCCGGCCGCCGGGCCCGGCCGCCTCCCTGGCCGATAGCGACGCCGGCCGACCGGGGCAGCGTGGCGACAGAGAGACGCAGCGGCCCCCGCGGGCAGCCACAGCCCCCGGCCCGGCGCGGCCATCCTCCCGGCTTAGCCAAATTGCCTTGACGGCTGGGGACAGTGTGGAAACGTCAACGCCAGGGCGATCTAATGGCTCCTAATTTCATTAGGGAGGCTCTGGATTAAAAGTCCAGAGTTTGGGATAGAGCACCTCTCTCGCTTCCCCTGGGCTGCTCAGTGGGACCTGAACCCCCAAATTGGGTGGCAGGGCTGTGCACCTTCCCCAGATGTCCACCCCAGAGTGACCCCAAAGGCACAGAAGAAAATCAGAGGGGAAAGCTAGGAAGTGGCCTGGGGCTGGGGGAGCCCTCACTTCCCAGCATGACTCCATCCCCTCCCCCGACCAAGCCCCCTGACTACCCAGCCAGGAGATGCACATGGGACCTTTACAAAATGGTCCCCCCTTCCTCAGAATCCCTTGAAATATAAAATGTCTGTTTGGAATCAGCAGAGCGACTCCTTACCCTGGGCCATCTCCCCACCCAGGAAAGACGGAGATGATTCAAGCAAGGCTCAACAGAAATGAGGCTCTGTTTGGCTGGATGCTTTCTGCACCCCTTGGAGCCCTCCCGGGGACACAGAAAGGGCAGGGGACTTTCTCCTCTCTGGCCAGCAGTTCAGCCTCTTCCCACCCCAGATCCTGGTGGGCTTGTGCTGAGTCCTAAGACCTGGCAGGAGGAGATTCCTCATCTGAACTTTCACTACTGTGCTCCCTCATGGCCAAATCCATTCCCACCCCACCCCCTCCTTTCCCTAATCTGGTGACCAAGTGTCCCTCGGTTGCTGTACTCTGGAGAGACAACCTGGTGGGACAAAGAGTCTCTATGGAGTTAGAGCTCCCCTCAAATCCTTGATCCCAAATGCAAGCTGTGTGACCTTGGACAAGTCACCTCCGCTCCCGGTGCCTTTTGTCTTCCTCTCTAGGCTACAGTGAGGATCGATGCCCCAGGGTGAAGGAGCCCATTATGAAATTGTCAACAGGGACCTCCTCACTGAATTCCTAGACTGTTCTATCTAATTATTTCTATCATTAGAAATAATACAAAGAGATTTAGGGACATCCCCCCCCCAAAAAAAAAGAATCAGTGTTTTGTTCTTTGTTTTCTTTTGAGGAAGAGGGGGTGACACCCTGCTGAGAATCCCCTAAAAGCTACCTGCTGTCTGGGCAGGAGGTGGGAGGGGGGCGGCTGCACACTCAATATCCAGCATATGCTGTCAGGGAATTCACCAGGTCCCCCTCTTGGGACCAACCTAGACTCCTCTGGTGGCTTCACTGGCCACCTGTAGAGAAGGGGCAGACCACCTCCCTCTCACCCAGGACATTTAAAAAATGAGGCAGAACTTGGAAAGGACAGGGAAAATATACGCTCCCCTATGAGGCCTCTCCTGTACCGGGTCCCTGCTGGGCCCCAGTGTCCATGTTGTTTGCATAACTGAAGGCCCCCACCTCTCACCGCACCTAAGGCACAGGCTGACCCTGCAGGCCCCATTGTCCAGGCCTGGAATGAGCAGCCCCCAAGACTCTGGACCCTCAGTAAAGGCAGAAGGTCAGGGATTGGCGGCACAGATGCAGCCCCAGGCCAGGAGAACCGGGAGCCCTGGCTCCAGCCAACAGGGAAATACAGACCCAGGACCGTTCCACAGGAAGGACAGCTGAGGGTGGGCCCTCTGAGCAGGAGGGTGGTGGAGACAGAGGAGGAAGTGGTAACGAGGAAAAGAAAGCAAAGGGAAATCTGAATGAGGAGGTGAGAACTACAGGAGAAGGAAAGAGAGGAGACGAGAGAGGGAGGAAAAAGAAGAAAATGAAAGACCAAAAGCCAGATCAAAAAGGGACCTGGGAGGGGGGAAATGGAGGAAAGAAATGGAGAATCGTGGACACGTGAAGCTGAGAAGAGCAAGCGTTGAGGCCGAGGACGGAGAGGGCCGGGGTACTTACGTGCCCAAAGGGGTCCAGGTGGTTGTTGGTGAGCTTGAGTTTCTGGAACGAGACGAGCTGTCTCATCCAATGCGCCCCTGTGGCTGGCGAGTCAGGGTGCACATAGAGGCGGCCCGGCATGGCAGGCTCTGCTTTGCCGGTCACAGACCTAAACCAAGGAGAGGCGTGACCTGGGGGCTGCAGTAGCAGAGGTACTGCACCAGGCAAGGGCTGCCAAGCACTGGCCGGGGACATCTTGGATCATCCTGACCCTCCCATCTCCTTTAGGCTCCCAGGTGCCCCTGAGTGCCTGGCGCCAGCATCCAGGCCATTCCCCTGGCCCGACTCTTTCTTCTTCCACCTCAAAGTTCCCCTAGCGCCAGGCGTGCCTGGGACCCTGTGGTGTCTCACGGCACACAACCAGGCCGGTTCTGGAAGCCTGAATGTGCAAAAGAAATCTTGAAAACTCCTTAAGTGCTTTCAAAGAGGGCCTCCTCCTCTTCAAGCCCCTGCACTCCTGGCAGCCAGGGAGCAATCGATCCAAGGAATGGGCCTCTCCTCCCTTGCCTTTTTAAACTAAAATGCCATGGGCCGATTTTGTAATTTCATAAAAAAGCCATGTTCAAAGCAGGTAACTCATAAAAAATAACTGTAAATGGTTTTATGCCCCCCAGAAATACATCCAGGGCTTGGTAACAATACTCTTTTTAAAAAAATCCGGAGCTCGTGTGTGCAGCAATAGAGGGCCCCATTTCCTCTGAGCCTCAGTTTTCTGGTCTATCAAATGGGAACTAATGGCTGTGGGTGGGGGGTGGGGTGGTCAGCCGGCTGCAATGGAATAGTCATGTGCAAGCCTCGGAGCACACAGTGGGAGCTAAAAAAAATGTTTACTCCTTCAAGGTGGGGGATTCCAATTCCCTCCCTGCCCTCCTCCTGTCTGGTGCCTACCATTTATTATCTGCAAACTTATATCTGTGGTCATCCGCAGGAACAATGTCCATGAGGAGGATATACTTCGTTTTGGGATTAAGCCCAGTCACCTTGACTTTATAACTGGGAAACATCCGCCTAGGAGAGAGAGGGGGAGGTGGGGAGAGGGAATTGATGTCAATATTTGAGAAGCATGTCTGCAGATTTTAATGGAAAATGCAATTCCTTGAAACAAGTAAAACGGAGGAAAAACTGGCTCCACTCCACTCTCCCTGAGATCCATCCCGGGTTTCCCTTGAAGTTCTGGTGTGGGGAGGAGGAAAGCAAAGGGATGGGAAAGGAGGAGGCACCTGGGTACCTGTGGGGACCTGGGAGAAATAGCAACCAGAGGCTGCTTAGAGAGAAATGGTTTTAAAGAAGGCTTGAAAGGGACCCCTTTCAAATCCAACTAAATGCTCCTCTCAGAGCCAGCCACCTACTCTGGAGGAAAGGACTCCAGGACTGGGGTCAAACCTAGACCCCTTCTATCTGCCCAGGTGCATGACTGCAGTGTCAGTAGACACCGAGGTGTGCGCCCTAGGGACACGCAGCCCGTGGGTGTGCATCTGCCCTGGGTCCTGGCTTTTGTTGTCCGCCCTCAGGGGCGGGGATTAGCGGCGGTTCCCAGTTTAACTCGGTGGGTGACCCCCACGGGGTCTCCAGCGGGAGTTCATTCTTAAACGCCACACTTCCCCAAGGCGCCTGGGGCAGTCTAGGTTCCTTGGCCCTCGGCAAAGAAATTCCAAATCTATCCAGATTTGGTTGCAGCAAGAGCTGGGGCCTGACCTGGGGTCGGTGGGCGGAAAGCCGATGCGCGCAGCAGCCTGGTGCCGGCTACTTCTGGGCGCGGGGCGCACTCCACGCTCCCATCCCGCCTCGTGAGTTGTAAGCCCCGGGAAGCAAGGCTCCTCCCGGCTGAACTGGGGCGAAAGGACCAGATGCTGGTCCTGGGCTGGCTCCGCGCTGGCGGGCAGGGTGAGCCGAGGCCTCTCCCTAAGCCTCGGTGTTTATCTGGCCGAGCAGCGCGCCTGGCTGGAGGCGGAGGCGCAGGAGACTTCGCAGGCCTTTTATAGTTACATCCTCGGCTCCGGCAAGGGGGGAAAGGATCCCAGCCCGGGCTTTCCTTCCCCGGCGGACTGGGAAGAAGACCTCAGTGCCTTGGTATAAACAGATCGCGCGCCTCCCAGCTCACTCCGGCCTTGGGCCGAGCGGAGGAGCCGACATTGTTTAATTTCAAATAATAATAAATGTCACGGTTGTCAGTTTATTGTGGGAGGCTTGGAGCAGGGGAACCGCGGCGTCTGCAGAATCGGCTGCAGCCTCCGCCTTCGCACACCCCGGCGGCGTGGGCCTGCCGGCCTCCCTCGCTCCACGCGCGCGCTCTGCACAGACCCGAGGCCTTCCGCCCTTCCCCGCATGGAGGACCCATCCAGCCCGGGGATGCTGGTGGCGGGGATGTCCTCAGGCCTGGGCAGGAGCCCTCTCACACAGGGAGGCACAGAGCTAGCGGCACGACTCTGCCGTCCCCTCCCCCATGAGTCTGGCTTTTCCAGCTCCAACTCCGCGAGCTTTGAAGGGGAACTCTGGGGCCAGTCTTGGCCAAGAGGCCGTGTTTATCGGTGTCTGCGTATAGAGCTCCACCGAGCCCCGGTTCAGTTTCAAAGGCTTCGCCTGTGTTCTATAAACAATGGAAGAGGTAGCGAAGACATCCAACAATTCAGAGTTTGGCCATCGGGTGGACGCTGGAACCACTCCAAGGTCAGGGAGGGTGGGGATGCGGGTGGGGGCGAGGGATCCAGTCCGAGAAACCTAGGAAACCCAAAGCCCTGCTCTGTTTTCCCTTTCTCTCTTCGCTCCATTCTTCCTCTTCTTTCTTTCACTACAAATCCGTCCAGAAGCATGGCTTCCATGCTTTTTATTCTTCCTAAATATGAGCTGGAAGAAACACCCAGCTTCCAGAGTTGAGGGTTTGGAATGTATCCCCATCCTTCTGAGGGCCAGTGGAAGGATTCTCAATGTGCCTCTTTAACCAGAATTGAGTCAAATATTTTATCCCCCAGCCCCCAGCTAATTCTTTCTCTAGACCCCGCTCCTCTCTCCCTCTCCATTCTCTCCTGCTCCCCGCCACATTTTTTTCTTCTTCTTCCCTCACTCTGCGCCCCTGTGCTCCCTCCAGATCCTCAGCCAACTCACCTTCCAGCCTTCGTTATGATCATTTCTGTGCCCACTTCGTGAAATTTCAGCCACAGTTCTCTTTCGTGGAGAAACACCTTGATTCCTTCCATGCCCTGCAGGCACGAGAGAAAGATGGCAAGTGAGAAGCTTGGGTGGCAGTGGACATTTCTTCCCAAACTGCAAGACGGCTTCTCCCACCGCCTTGGTGCCTGTGGACTCAGAGGGTGAAAAGTGCCTCAGTCAGCTGCAGAGTTGTCTGGGCTCTGGAGCACCCTAGAGCCTCCGCCCAGGAATCCCGGTGCTGGCTCAGCTGTGAGGGGGCAACCAACGATTACTTGATTCTCCAGTGTCATACAGCCCCCCCTAATGCCCTCAACACAAAGTTTGAGAGTCATCACCAATATTAGGGGTCTCCAGGACTGTGGGGAGGACCCACGGGCCAATTTCAATTCACTTCCAGCTGGGAAACAGGGGGCCTCAATCTAGAAAAAAACAAAACACCAAGGACATTCTTTGTAGACATCCATATGTCCACTCGCAAAACTTATGAATACGCAACTCATGTGCCTATAAATGTTTGTCCTCCATCATGGTAGAACATACAAGGAATTTTAAATATAAAAAATTTATTATGATTATATGATATGTTGCTACAGTCGAGAACACAAATTCTATCTTAATAACCTTTCCGGGCCCTCTGTTCACTTTTAGCAATTTGGAATATGGGGAACAGCCGAAACCAATGTTTTCACTTTCAACGAAAAGTCATTTTGCAAAATCAATGCAAAAAAAAATAGATATGAAGTCTTTCTTTAGAAACATGGGTAATTGTCTAAAAAGTGGATTTGCTTTTCCAGAAAAGAAAAAATTCTGAGCCCTGAGCCCTGGGTGTACTTCCATCATCCCAGCAACTCAGGGTGGTGAGTTCCAGGCCAACCTGGGCGATTTAGCAAGATTTAGCAAGACCCTGTCCCAAAGTGTAAAAATAATAATAAATTAATTTAAAAGCCTGTGTAAGGCCCTGGGTTCAATCCCCAGTACCAAAATACTAAGGATGATGATGAGTCTATAAGTTTCCCTAACTGTGCTTGCAGGCTGTGTAAATATTACGCCTGTTTTCCTGAAATAGGAAGACAAAAGAGAAAGTCTGGAAGGGCATCGAAATTGAAGGAAGGCTGAAGCTATGTGTACGAATCTCTTCTGGTCAAGTCAACCGCTTTGCGGGTCTGTGACATCCATTTTAAAACCGTCATCGGTCTTGTGGCCGCCTGGTGCACCCAGTGAGCTGGGGGTTAGGGCGCGGAGCACAAGGCAGGGCTCCTCCCTCTGCTGGGGCCCAGCTTCAAGCCAGGCGAGCCCGAGACTTCCTGTGCCCTCTCGGGCCAGCCTCCTGCGCTCCTCTCGGCCTGCGAGGGCGCGCTAGCCCGCCAGGCCCCGACCGCAAGACAAATGGTGTGATGCGCTGGTCTAGGCAGCGGGGAAGGCTACGGGAGATCTAAAGAAGGGTCAAGCCATCGCTCATGCCGGCCTGAAGCAGCCGCTGACCCGGCTCTTAATAAGGCGCTCAGGGCCAATTCTACACCTAATGCAGCAGGCCAGGAATTCTCTGTGCTATTGTTTGCTGACCTCAAAAAACCGGATAATTGAGATTTCTCTAACAATTTAACTAGCTTTCAAAAATGCTCAGGCCATAAAGATAATTTCATAATAAAATGCATTGGAATACACTGGTATTTGGGAAGACAGGGCAGACAGCGGTGGAACTCAGTGGGAATAACAAGGAAAATGGACCATAATAAGCCTTAGGCTCTGCACCCCTCCCCTGCGCCGGCAGAAGGAATCCAGCAAACCAGCGGGACTCCAGTCGGCTTTGGTGTCTGGAAAGGGCCTTCAGGTGCAGGGTCTGCTTACCTGCTGGGTGAAGGCGGCCTGCGGAGACGACGGGGACTTGCTGGGAACCCCTAGTGTAGTCTCCGGTTTTGAATCGCAGGACAGGTCTTTGGAGTCAGGCTCCAGAGGCGTGTGCGCCAGGCCAAAGCCCTCGTCTGCGTCGGCCATGGTGCGCCCAGGGCCCTGTGCCCGTGCGAGGTTCTGCTCTGAGAGAGAGAGTTGGAGAGTGGAGAGTACAGCTTCAGCGACAGGAGGGAGCAGTTTGACCCCGTTTCCAGCTACCAGCCCCTCGGTTCCCAGCTGAAGGAAACGGCAGAAAGTCCTATTATTATTATTACTATTACTTTCTGACCACGCACAATCTCTTGCGAAAGACCCGAGTCAGACCCGGAGGAGGAGAGGCCCCCATCTCCCCTGCGCAGGCTCTCCACGATAAGCGAGCTGCCCGTCAAATTTGTCTGAACTCCTGAAAGAGCCAATAAAGATAAGGGTCGGTATTTTTGGAAGCCATTGGGTACCAACCAAATACAAAACAAAACAAAAACTCAGTCTCCTTTTGAGAATTTCTTTTCTTTGTCAAACTGCAGGAGGCCATCGGAATTTTTTTTTATTAAACCTCAAGAGAGGGATAGTTATCTGCAGCAGGCAGAATACTTGCAATAACCCGCCTCTAGCAAAACCCCCAAACCGAGGAAGGATGTCCAATCTGAGAGACCAGGTTCAAAAGAGAATTCGTGTACATCTTTATCAGCTACAGGCCCTAAGATGAAAAGTCCTCTAAGAAAAGGAAAAAAGACATCCCTTAGCTCCAACCCTAAGCAAGACTTATTTTAAAAACTAAAACGTAGCCATACGGAAGGCTCCCGAAGGAAAGCGGCGGCTCTGCAGGTCGGAGAGAGAGAAGCACCCGGTGCCGGCCGCCAGCGCTCCTTCGCGGCCGGCCGCGGGTGCGTGTTCTCCCGGCTTGCTCGGCTCTCCGCGCTGGGTATTTTTTCAAGCGTCCAGGCCGAGGGGAGCGTCTCCAAGCTGCAGCCTGGCCTGGCTCGCTGAAACGGCAGGCAGGACTGGCTCGGGGTTGGAGGGGACAAAATCGGTCCCGCATAAATCCTGGGCTCCAGGCGTTGAATGGGTCTCGCGTTCTGCCGCGGTGGGGAGAGCGGCCCGGGGTCGCAGGCGTAAGAGGATGGAACCCGCAAAATCGCTGCCACAAGGCCGTTGGAGCCGGGATGGGTCTGTCTGCTTCCAATCTCCTCCACATTTCCAAGGAGGGATTCCCACCACCGTCACCACCACCCTGCCTCGAAGCACGGCAAGATTTTGGGAAAGGGGTGCAAACGACAGTCCCCGCAGCATATGCTTAGGCAAGCGGTTGAATTTCCCTGGTCTGTAATGGCTCAGACCTAAACACGGGACCGAGAAGGACAGCTTCTGAGGCCAAACCTCCAAGCAGCTTCCTTCCCCTCGGCCTTGGGGATTTGGGGGAGGCAGTTCTAGGAGCTCCGGCAGCCTGCTTACAACAAAAGAACGCAGGGCCGGCGCCCCCCACCCCCACGCTCCCATTCACTGCGGATCCCGGAGAGAATTCCACCGCGCGCCCTTGCCAGGGTCTGGGGGAGCTCGGGGCTGGCGGAGACGAACAAGATGCGGTTTGACAGAACCAGGCCGCGCGTCCTGCAAGCCTCAACGCCTCTCCCCGAGCCGCGGCCGCCTCCCGGGCTGCACTCGCCCGGCATCTCCGGCCACGCAAACCCTCTGCGAGCCGGGCGCTGCAAGACGCAGGGAAGGCTGCAGTCCGCCATTCGCGCCTCTGAAGGCGGACTCCGCGCCAGAAGGCTCCCTCCCGAGTCTCCCGGGCCATCTGCGGGGACCATTACCTCGCTCGGAGGAGCCGGTGCGTTCACCACATTCCCTCCTGGCTCCTAGCAGGCAAGCCGGCGGCGAGGTGGGGGTGCAGGCATGGTGACTCCGAGGTTTACGCTGGGGACTGCTTGCCCAGCCTAGCGCCTACTGCTGCCTACAAAGGAGCACCCACCGCTGAAGTCTCGGCGGCGCCTGCCCACCTCCAACACACACCTCCTCGGTGTGCGATTGCTCTCCTAAAGGGCTCCGACTTGTCAGGCGCCACAGGGGCTCCGAAAAATACAAAACAGCAGCTCTGGGAGTGCCAGCAACCTTAGAACCTCATCGCGGAATCCTCCCTTGCACCCCCAGGGAGGGAAAGTTGGGAGACAAGAGAAAGCCGCGGGGAATTGTCCAAGTCCTTCTCTGAGCACCGCTTTCAGGGTTAAAGTTCCGGAATTTGAGGTAAGAGTCAGAGTCTCTCTCTCTCTCTCTCTCTCTCTCTCTCTCTCTCTCTCTCTCTCTCTCTTTCAGAAATACAAGCCAACTTTGCTGAGTTCAGTGACGTTGAATTGCCTTGATGCTTACAAAGTACTGAAATTGCCTATCCAACTAGCTCCCACCAAACACTGCCTGCCCCTTCTCTCTCTCTCTCTCTCTCTCTCTCTCTCTCTCTCTC